TGTAAGCAGCTGTCAGAGAGCTGAGAAGGCGGAACAAGCCCTGAGGGAGAGCTCAGCTTCACAGATCTGATAGCAAGATGTACCCACGGTAGTACCTCTGCCCTGTCCGAAGACTCGATGGCACGTCATCTCAGGGAGAAGGTGGCCCAGTTGGTTAGGTTACTCTGCCCTGCTGCGGAGGAGGATCCAGCAGGATTTCTCAAAGGCAAACCCAGTACCGGCAGCAAGACTTCAGTGCAGGTGTGACACCTTCAGTGAAGAGTTGAGAAAGGAGGCTGCATGCAGGTTACCTCAGAGCTGGAAATGAGCACAGAGCCTAGCTGCTAGCGCTTTAAAAGGAACGTCAGGAGGTCGTACAGCGTTTTCTTTTTCTTCCCTCTCACCCTCTGCCCCCACCCCGTCACTCCCCAGAAAGCCGTTTGGGACAACTGGCTTTCCAGAACTCACACTTCTCTTCCCTGCTTCCAGGTACCGAAGGAAGAAGAGACAAACGAATGCCAGCGAGTACAAGGAAGTTGGTACCCTGTAGAAGGAACGGTGGCTTCCTACAGTGTTGAGTTCATCTGGATGGACTCGGTGGCTTCCCATCTATTTAAATGTTATTTTTATTAATGATATTTACAATATTTATATCCTTTTAAAAATTTCAATGGTTTGGTGATCCAATCAGTACAGGTCAAGCGTTTTGTTTTCAGTGTTTTATTTTTTTATTAAATAATATTTCCTAATGAGAACCCCACCTGTGTGGTTCTGTGGGATAGAGATATATTTTTATAAAAACTCATCTTCTTACTCTGAAGAGTAATTTTATATTTATTCTTGTGAATATGCTCAAAACAATTGTACTCCTAGAAATAAAAGTTCTACACAAAGTGAAAAAGGCTGTGTGGTTTAATGGAAGTGAAACTCGCCGTGGCTTGGCTGAGCAGGATGTGTGAAGCCCCAGCAGTTATTTTTGGAGAGAGACACCGTAAGATTGCTAATAATATGTATTGATGCACCTTAGTTCCCAGGAACGTAGCTATTAGCTGGCGTAATTGGAGGAAGACTCGAAGGAAGAAGGAGCACAGCTCTCCTAGTGCAGCCTATCCAACACGCAGCGCATGACAGCAGCGTGGATCTCGGCTCATCCGTGCGCTCAGGAAGGTTGTGGGGACGTGTTTGGGATCACAGCAGGGAGGCAGCAGCACAGGTTGGCTGGTCTCTGCAGCTGAACACGGCAACACGGGGCAGCTCAGAGGTTGAGTGTAGCTGCAGGAAAAAGACTCTGTCAGAACCGGTGTCGGCACTCCAGGCCTCCCCAGAGCGTTTCTGCTGTAGTGTCTGTGGTACCACTCGGAGTGGGGGAAAGTTTCAGCTTTGGGCTTAATGTAGAGATCTTGTTGGCCTAAAACAGTAACAGAATAGCCCACTGGGTTTGGCTACATCCTGAGTGTGGCTCCCTGTGAACAGGATTCCCACAGCATTCTTCCCGGAGAGGGTGGTGAGGCACTGGGACAGGTTGCCCAGAGAAGCTGTGGATGCCCCATCCCTGGAAGTGTTCAAGGCCAGGCTGGATGAGGCTTGGAGCAACCTGGTCTAGTGGAAGGTGTCCCTGCCCATGGCAGTGGGGTTGGAACTGGATGGTCTTTAAGGTCCCTTCCAACCCAAACCATTCTGTGATTCTATGATTCTGTGAATCATCCCTGTTAATGCCGCCAATTCTCACGCTTTCGGATGTGTGAAAAAGCGCATCCTTGACGTCACTCCTGGTCTTCGCTAGAGGTCCGGTTGAGCTGTGTCGGCCTGCGTTGCTCGGTGTTTATGGGCCTAAGGCCTGTGATCCCTCAACCTGCACAACGGGATCTTGG